AAACCAATAGCTCCTTATTTCTTGCATTGTTTAATGACACTGTAAATAGTTACACAAACGTTAAAAATTATATATACTGATGGATCAAAGTTAGCTGATAGCGTTGGATGTGCCTATACATCAACGGGACACGAGCAAAAATTTAAACTACATCCCATGACCTCGGTTTTCAGAGCCGAGCAACTTGCATTGCTTAAAGCACTGGAATATATAAATAACCACAATGAAGCAGGTACTTACCTAATCTGCAGCGATTCCTTTAGTGCCATTCAATCTATATCTGCCACAAATTCCTTTGACCCATTGGTTCAAGAAATACTTCATTGGCTTGTCTTACTGGAATCAGATCGGAAATATGTTATCTTTATATGGTCTCCAGGTCATGTAGGGATTCCAGGTAATGAAAGGGCTAACGAATTGGCCCGTGAAGCAGCAACCGATACTGTCAACGCCAACAACCTGGTCCACCCGGAAGACCTGAAAAATTTTCTGAAGAATAAGTTGATGTCTGTATGGCAAGAGAGATGGAATGGATGCGAAACTACCCTCAAAAGATACAAACCTACAGTTAAAAAATGGCACCTCCCATCACTACCACGAAGAGAAGAGGTGACGCTTACACGATTACGCATAGGCCATTGCAACATAACACACATGCATCTCATTCGCGGCCTGGATCCACCGCAATGCGAAAACTGCCAAACTCAGCTAACAATTGACCACATATTCTTGGAATGCCCAACATATTCTAGAGTCCGCCAATCGTTTGACATTATTAACAGCCTACAACGTGGGCTCTGTGGCAATGACGCCGGTAGCATGATAAACATCCTTAACTTCTTAAGAGAAATACAAGTTTTCCTGAAAATATAAACATGTAAGATGATACACTTATTAAACCCTGAATAAGATATTCCATAAAATAGCTTATACAAATAAACCAATAACTAAAACCATGTGACATATAATGCATAATAAACGTACATGCCAGTTACCTACTATTCTCTACTCGATGAGTACTTAACATATAATTCAGTATCCAAGACACACACTGTGTGATACTTGAAAAGTGAGAAAAGAACCCACCTATTAAATATATTGAGACTTTAAATATATATTGATGATTGATATTACCTGTGATAAAATGCACTCAGATCTACCCCTGGGTGACAATGACATGTCCTATATGTGGAGGAGGGATACGGCAAATGACATCATCAGTCGAAGCCGTGGGAAAAAAAAAAAAAAAAAAAATAATAAATAATAATATATAATAATAATAATAATAATAATTAATAATAATAATAATAAATAAAATAATAATAATAATAATAATAATTTTCATTTCTGTAGGCTTAGACGACCACACTATGATCCACGCCTCTGTCTCAACAATGAACGCATACCCTGTGTGTCTTCTGTAAAATTCTTAGGCCTAACACTCGACAGTAAACTGACATGGAGAGAACACATTGAGGATCTTACCAACAGGTGCAAGAGAGCCCTAAACCTAATAAAATGCCTGTCGTCAACACGATTCGGAGCAGAAGCTGAGATGCTGTTGCGGATATACAAGAGCATCATTCTATCTAAGCTTGACTACGGTAGCATTGTTTACTCATCTGCAAGACCGTCACTGCTTAAAAAACTTGATACAGTTCACAACCAAGCATTACGTCTCTGCCTTGGAGCATTTCGTACAACTCCAGCAGCTAGCCTCTATTGCGAATCCGGAGTTGAACCTCTATCCATTAGACGTAAAGAACTTGCACTATCGTATTCTGCACAGATTCAAACACGACCATTCCATAGAAACTTTTCTATCATTTTCAGTACGGATGAGAGCTACATCTGTCGCCCCACAATAACAAGATCTCTCAGAGTCCGAGTTAAAGAATATGCCGAGGAAATTGGTATATCATGTAACCCTATCTATAATGTTAAACACAGAGAATCTCCTCCATGGCTGTCACCCAAAATAAATGTGAATCTCGAGCTGACTGCACTATCTAAGAATGACCATCCATCTGAACTCATAAAATCACGTTTTATGGAAATCGTTTCTAGATATCCGGCAGCAGCAACAGTTATCTATACAGATGGATCGCGAACTGACAGTGGTGTCGGCTGTGCTATAGTAGTCGATCAAACTGCACATCAATGGACACTATCACCAATAGCATCCATATTTACTGCTGAACAATATGCTATTTGGCAGGCCCTACGATACTGTGACATGTCGAATAACATAACAACAGCTATTATAGCTAGTGACTCGCTCTCAGCACTTCAAGGCCTAATGAACTATGCATCTCGAGATTCCTTAACTGTGATGTGTCTTGAAACTGTCAAACATCTCTTAAATAAAGGGGTAAACGTAAAATTTCTGTGGTTGCCAGGACACGTTGGTATACAGGGGAATGAAGCTGCTGATATGGCAGCGAAAGCAGCAGCGCAACAAAACATCGACATCCCTGAAATAAAAATGTCTGATCATAAAAAGTACCTCATAAACCGTATACAGCGACACTGGCAAATTACATGGGGTAAGACTGATACCCACTTAAGACAGATAAAACCTAGTGTAGGATTATGGCCACATCCTATCAGACTGCCACGAGAGGAATGGGTGCGCATACATCGCTTACGCTTTGGCCACACACGTCTTACACATGCACATCTTTTGCTCGGAACAGATCCGCCCTTGTGCACTGGATGTAACTCTTCACTCACTGTACGCCACATTATCTGCACATGTCCGATATTGTCGCAATATCGAGTGATCTATGGACCATTTGATAACCTGACAGAGAGTCTCACACAACCAGAAAAACTGAAAAACGTCATATCATTCTTAAAAGTATCTGGTTTCTATTGGAAGATCTGACCTAATGAACTTTTTGGAAATGAACCATTTTAATTTTTGTGTATCTTATTCTCAACTGAGATTAAATGAATGTTATGTAACGATGATTTTGCATCATACCTACCTTAGCTTAGTATTGTCATCTTGAACTAAAAGAAACATGCAACAATAGAATTTGGATAAATCCATACTTACGTGAACGCAAACAAGATCGTGAAATGCAGATAATGACCACAAAAAAAAAAAAATTAATATTAATGAATATATGCCTGACAAATTTAGTCGTGTAACATTTTCCAGAAATTATCTTTTGTCGCTAATAGAATCTGAAAGTAAATGACAATAGTATATCCTTTTCGATTAATATCTGGAATTTGCGTAGTTAGTTTTTTAAAAATGCGACACTTACCACTTAGACATGTAAGAGATTATATATTTTATACTTTAGATTTATATTATATTATATATTATTGAGTACGGCTAATAACCAGAGAAGTTGACGCCGTCAAAAAAAAAAAAAAAAAAAAAAAAAACAAAAAATAATAATAATAATAATAATAATAATAATAATAATAATATAATAATAATAATAATATAATAATATATATAATATATAATAATATAATAAAATAATAATAATAATAATAATAATATATATAATAATATAATCCCCGCAGGGGGTATCTACTTTTGAAGCTGGATATTTGATCCGGTTTCAAGGAAGATACATGGGGAGCGTCGCCCCCACGGCCCCAGGCAGGGAGTTCGGGGTTTGGTAGTCTTATTCATTCTGCCAAACCCTGGGCTTTTCCTTCCCCCTTTCTCCCATCCTTCTCCTTTTTATATCCTGTGCAGCTGTCCGCTGCCCTCCGACTTTCCTTGTCCTTTCCTTACTCCATGCGTTGAGGCGGCGCGTGGGGCTTCCTCTTAGCTTCCCGGGTGTTTGTGCCGTGCCCGGCGACCCGTAAGCTGGCCAATGGAATCCTGGTGGTTGAGCCCTACCAGTCAGGGGGGCAACACGCCACTTTGGTCCGGCGGTCAGTCTAGAAGGGCGGCCGCGCCTAGCCCAGCGTCGGTCAATCGGCTGTGCCATCCCGTCAGAGGGCTGGTTGGGCGAGCCTCCACAGGTAGTAGAAGCCAGACGGGAATAGTTCGCTATGCTCGATGTATGGTGGAGCTACCTGTGGGGACTATACCTCCTTTTCCTAGCATTAACGGTATCCCTGGGGTTATGTCCTAGCGGAAGGCGATTATGGGCATAACCTCCCAATGAGGCTCCGTGGAGGGTGGGGAGCCGGGGAGGCGAATACTTATTTTGAGCATATGGGAACTACACAAAATTCAACAGGTGTGCTCACCTCCTTAAATGTGGGCGCTACAGGAGTGGCAACAGGCAGACCAACCGCCAAATGCGACGACCCCTTCAGCCATGAAAAGGCGGAAATTGTTCCCCGGTTCTTGGTGTTGGGAAGAGGAGATGGGGGAAATTTTGATAAAATGAACCCCTTTCTTATAAACAAAACATTATTTGGATTAGTAGGAGAGTTAAAGAGTATCAGAAAGACAAAGCAGGGCCTTGTAGTCGAAACATCATCCCCAGCACAAGGAAGAAAATTGTTACGTCTTGAAAAATTTGGTGAATTCGATGTAAAAGTCTCACCTCACAGAACATTAAATTTTTCAAAAGGAGTCGTTAGTTGCCCTGATTTATTGAATGTACCAGTTGAGGAAATTCTAGATGAACTTCGATCTGAAGGAGTTGTTGAAGTTTCAAGGATAGTTCAAAAAAGAAATGGCTTATTGGTTGAAACACCTCATCATATTCTAACGTTTAACAGACCCAAGTTACCTAAGTCAGTAAAAGCTGCATTTTACTGTCTACCAGTACGCCCCTTTATTCCAAGCCCCGTAAGGTGCTTCAGATGTCACAATTTGGACATATGTCCTCAACATGCAAGTATGAACAAGTGTGCCTGTGGTAAAGATTTACATCAACCTAGTGAATGCATCGAACCATTTAAGTGTGTTAACTGTGGGAATGACCACTTGTCTAATTCAAAGAACTGTCCGAAAATGAAGGAAGAAGTCAGCATACAGAATATTAGAACAACAGACAAAATTTCCTATATTGAAGCTAAAAGAAAGTATTACGCCGCAATGCCTTAATACAACGTATGCCCAAGTAACAGCCTCTGGGTCAGACAATACTACGGCTAAGAAATTCATTCAGGAGCTCATCCCAGATATTGCTCAGATTATAGACCAACAGGTCAAAAAAAGCAATAGATGAGGTAATTAAGACCAGTTTATCAATATACCGCCGTCTACCTCATCAGAAAGAAGGCCTATGCGACGGGATCAGTATGACCTCGATGCAGCCTCAATTGTCTCTGATACTCCATCACAACTTCAGATAAAAGAAAAAGGACACAATATATTCGGACTGAAGAGCTAGTCTGCCTTACCGATACTTCTGAATCACAACTAGATGAGCTGAGTCAAACTAAAAGGAAAAAGGGTTGGCCAAAGGTAAGCGCCGTAAGCCCACCCAAACCTGGAGAAAGCTCAACTGCGAATTCTCAGATAGAATCATCATTAGAGCAATATCAGATCCAACATAAGCTGTGTTATAACGTTCTAAAGTATTTGTATATATGTGTGTATATATTATATTATATGTATATATATGTATAATTCATTTTTTGTTGTTATCTGTTTATACATTGTATTTGAAAATTATTATTCGTCCTTAGATAAATACGCATGCATTTTATTTATACACACAACCGTCTTATACAGTCAGGAGCTGATACAAGACACACTACAATATATACTTTAAAAACAAAAACCCCTAAATGGACTCTATAATCCAGTGGAATATAAATGGATCTAAGACACATTACCCCGAATTGAAAACGATAATGGTTGATAAAGCTCCTTTCTGTTTGTGCCTACAAGAGACCCACCTCCGTGATACAGATGTGTTTAACCTGCATAACTACAACTATATACGAAAGGATGCCGCCTCACAATCTCTGGCTAAGGGAGGTGTGGCAATATTTATAAAGGATAACGTACCTTTTAGTGAAGTAACCTTACAAACAGCCTTGCAGTCAGTTGCTGTACAAGTGCATTTGCCCTTTAAGTTCACGATATGTAACATCTACTTACCCGACTTTAGTTGGGATAGGAACCAAATAAGAAGTTTATTATCCCAACTACCCTCTCCGTTTCTTCTTGTGGGCGACTTCAATTCCCATAATCATCTATGGGGTTCCAATAAATTGATCTCCGAGGCAGAATAATCGAGGAACTTGTTGAAGAACATAACCTAGTCATACTGAATACTGGAGAAGGCACATATCTAAATACCCGTTCTTGCAATTTAAGCGCCATTGATTTGACCATCTGTTCCCCACAAATAGCACACCTTTTCCAATGGCAGGTATTGGAGGATAACTTCTCTGATCACTTACCTATTTTAATTAGAACCTTTGTGAAGTGTCATCCTCCCGTTCGACACAGTAAATGGAACATTAAAAAAGCAGATTGGTCTTTGTACCAACACATCCTTTCAATATGAACGGCACTGTACATGAATCAGTAATAGAGATCACAAATGGCATCATTGAGGCAGCGGAGGGTAGTATCCCCAAAACAGCCAGTGCAGTCCGTGGTCCCAATAGGGTACCTTGGTGGAACCGCGAACTTGATCATGCAATACAGAAGAAAAAACAAGCTTTTACCCAATTCAAAAGATGCCCAACACTATCTAATCTTATCAAGTTTAAAAAATGTAGAGCGAAAGCCCGTCAACTGATTCTGATGAGTAAGAACTCGTCCTGGAGGGAATTGTATCTACTATATCTAGAACTACTCCCGATTCTGAGATTTGGAAGAAGATTGGATTATTATCGGGAAAACGCTTCCCTATTCCATCACCTGTCCTGTTGATCAATGATAAAGAAATAACAGACAATCAAGAGATTGTTAATGTCTTGGCACTTGAATTCCAGAATAACTCAAATTCTTCCAACTATTCACCTAAATTTTTAACCAAGAAAGTTGAAGAGGAAACCACACACCTTGATTTTACTGAAGACAGGGTATCTGCATATAACTTGCCTTTCACGTTGGAAGAAATGGAAAGTGCACTAAGTGAGGTCCACAACTCTGCTCCAGGGCCAGATTCTATACACTATGAAATGATTAGACACTTACCGCAACAGGAAAGATGAATTTGCTAACTCTTTATAACAAAATTTGGGCAGAGGGTATATACCCCCAACAATGGCACGAGGCTGTGATCATTCCTGTATTAAAACCTAATAAAGATCCAAAGAACCCTGGCAGCTATCGCCCTATATCTTTAACATGTTGCCCAAGCAAATATTTGAAAAATGGCAAATAGGAGATTAGTATGGTTCCTTGAAGCACGGAATTTACTTTCAAATCATCAAATGGGCTTTCGGCGTCACCGATCCACTATTGACCAGTTAATCTACTTTGAATCAGCTATTCAGACAAGTTTTGCTAACCGAAATCACATGGTGGCAGTCTCTTTCGATTTAGAAAGGGCATATGATCGAACATGGAGGCACGGAATTCTGAAGACCCTATACTCTTGGGGACTCAGAGGCAACCTATTAACTCTCATATCAAATTTCATGGAGGACCGTTTGTTCAAAGTTCGCATAGGAAATGAGCTCTCACATGCCTATACACAGGAAAACGGCATCCCTCAAGGATCGACGCTAAGTGTGACACTCTTTATAATAGCCGTGAATCCCCTTGTTGAGTCGATTGAACCTCATATAGGCAAATGTCTATATGTGGACGACCTCACTATATTCTTCTCTGCAAAGGACCTAATAGAAATCGAGGAAACTCTACAAGCAGCAATAAATCATCTTACGACTACCGCTGAGAGTCTCGGTTTTCAATTCTCCCACTCCCCCGCAAAAACGGCCTGTATAGACTTTTGTAGGCTGAGAACTCCACACACTAATCCTCGACTGTCACTAAATGGACATCTGATACAGTGTAAAGATACTCTTGATCTTCTGGGGCTAACGTTCGACCAAAAACTTCACTGGGGTCCTCAGATTGAAAAATCCTTGTTAGGTGCAAGAAGTCCATGAACATTATCAAATGTATCTCTAACATCCAGTGGGGAGCCAGTCGGGAAGTCCTTCTGAATTTATATCAATCTTTGGTCCTTTCGAAAATTGAGTATGGTCTAATTGTGTTTGCATCAGCACGTAAGTCTCATATTGCGAAACTGGAAATACTTCATAGAGATGGTCTAAGACGATGTATTGGTGCCTTTAGGACAAGCCCTTCAGATTCAATATACTGTGAAGCTGGAATGCCACCTCTGAAATACAGAATACAGCAACTTAGCCTCAACTATGCAATAAAAATTGCAGCACAGCCTCTGCATCTCAATAACTCTATCATTTTTAATGAGGAAACGGAAGAACTCTTCCATGACAGACCAACCGCCACCCGCCCCTTTGGAATCCGGGTCAATGAAATACTAGCGGTCCTAGGTATCGATCTGCCAGATGTGGATAACTTGATGTTACCTGATCTACCACCATGGACATTAACAACACCTTTGACCGATACCGAAATGACTCGATACAAAAAAGGGACAATTTGTAATGAGGCTATAAATCGAGCTTTTTTGAACATTATTGCAAAATACCAACCATGCAAGATTATTTATACTGATGGATCGAAGACTGCTGAGGGAGTTGGTTGTGCCATAGCCTTTGAAGGATTTTGTCGTGGATGGAGTTTAAACTCGTCATGTTCTATATACTTCGCCGAAGTTTTCGCCATCTTTCAGGCTCTTAACTATATAAAAGGTTTAGCAGGAGGTAAGTACCTTATCTGCAGCGACTCTCTCAATGCCATATTGGCTATCAAACACAAGTACTCAACAGATCCTCTCCTCATAAAGACGTTGAGTCTCCACCATAAGTTGTATCAAGAAAAAAACACGTTACTTTCATCTGGAGCCCAGGGCACTCTGGAATTCATGGAAATGAACTGGCTGATCAAACAGCACGCCAAGCAATTTTATTGGACGTAACAGGTGTACCACTTCGGCTAGAAGATGCTAAAGAAGCTATGAAGGAAAATGTCCTCCACTCATGGCAGGAAGAATGGAACCTCTCGAATAAATTTTTGAAAACGTTCAAGCCAAGCATAAAAAAATGGAGCCTTCCACATATGACACGTAGAGAACAAGTAGTAGTTACGAGAATGAGAATAGGGCACACATTTCTTACTCACTCCCATATGCTATTAGGTAATCCACCACCAAGATGTGAAACATGTAATAAATTGCTCTCATGGAAGCATATACTGTTTAAGTGTCCTTTATACCTAGCTGCTAGAACAGCACATAACCTAGCTCTGGACTTAGAAAGTTGCTTTCTCACTACTGCCAACATAGGTTCTACACTTGATTTTCTTAAATCTACCAAACTTTTTAGAAAAATATAGTGCAATTACGTAGGATCCTACTAAATACATATACGTAAACTGATGATCTATGATTGATTAAGAAGTACTAACGTCGGATATGTAATTAAATGCTTGTGTATCCACGATCATGTATACTTATTTTATAGTGTCCTTGTCTGGACTAAGTTAATTATATGTCTGTGTATAAGATATAATATGTGTGTGCGTATACATGTGTAGATATTTTTTTTTTGTTCTTGTCTTTTTTTTTTTTTTTGTATTGAAATCTGAGCTACTTACATGACATCTGAGTCACCCAGATCTACCCCTGTGGTGAAAGTGGCAATTGACCGTATGGGCAGGAGGGAAGCGGCTTATTGTCATAGTAGCCGATGCCGCTGTGGGCAAAAAAAAAAAAAAAAAAAAAAAAAAAATAGTAATAGCAATAATAATAATCATTATAATAATAATAATAATATTAATAATAATAATAATAGTAATATCAATAAAAATAATAATTATAATAATAATAATAATAATAATAATAATACTAATAAGAATAATAATTATAATAGTAATAATAATATAATTATATAATAACTATCATAATAATAATTAATAATAATTTATTATTATTTTAATAAATAATAATAATAATTAGTATTATTAATAATAATAATGTAATTATAATAAATTAATAATAATAATATAATATCAATAATATAATAATTATAATAATAGTAAAATATAACTATCATAATAATAATATAATGATAAAAAATAATAATATAATAATAATATTAATAATAATAATAATAAGGCCCCGCAGGGGGTATCTACTTTTGAAGCTGGATCTTTGATCCGGTTTCAAGGGAAGATACATGGGGAGCGTCGCCCCCACGGCCCCAGGCAGGGAGTTCGGGGTTTGGTAGTCTTATTCATTCTGCCAAACCCTGGGCTTTTCCTTCCCCCTTTCTCCCATCCTTCTCCTTTTATTATATCCTGTGCAGCTGTCCGCTGCCCTCACGACTTTCCTTGTCCTTTCCTTACTCCATGCGTTGAGGCGGCGCGTGGGGCTTCCTCTTAGCCTCCCGGGTGTTTGTGCCGTGCCCGGCGACCCGTAAGCTGGCCAATGGAATCCTGGTGGTTGAGCCCTACCAGTCAGGGGGGCAACACGCCACTTTGGTCCGGCGGTCAGTCTAGAAGGGCGGCCGCGCCTAGCCCAGCGTCGGTCAATCGGCTGTGCCATCCCGTCAGAGGGCTGGCTGGGCGAGCCTTCGCATTGCGAAGAAAGCAGACAGGTGTGGATTATTTCTACCCTTGGCCATGCCGGACCGCAATGCGAAGACTATACTTTCCTTCAGCAGCCCTGGTGTCCATGTCCCGAACTATGTTTGCAGGCATGGCATCCCCAATGAGGACTCCGTGGCGGGTGGGGAGCTGGGAAGGTGAAGCATTTTGAAATTCGCATGGATGAAATACAAACCAAAAACCCACCCAGAAATGGGAAAGCTACCGCGCAAGCGGCCACGGCCAGCCAGAGAAAGGAGGGAACCATCCCCCGGTTTCTGGTGGTCGAACGGATTGATGGGGGTAACTTTGATAAAGTAAGCCCCTTTGTTGTGTCAAGAACATTATTTGGAATTGCTGGGAACCTGAAATTAATAAAGAAAATCAAATCTGGGCTACTGTTGGAAACCAGTACCGCAACCCAGGCAAACAGACTTTTGCAAACACAAAGAGTTGGAGATTATAATGTTGTAGTTAAAGCGCATTCCACGCTTAATTACTCCAAAGGAATTATTACTTGTGCTGATCTTTTGAACTCCACTTTGGAGGAAATATTGGACGGCCTGAAAACAGAAGGAGTTATTGACGTAAAACGTATGATGCGTAGAAGAGGTGAGGAACTTATAGAAACACCAAATCTCATTCTCACTTTTGATAGACCCAATCTACCTAATAAAATTAAAGCTGCCTTCTACCACCTTGATGTTCGCCCTTACTACCCAAGCCCTTTGCGGTGTTTCAAATGCCAGAAATTTGGTCATACATCCCAGAAATGTCCTAATACCGAAATGTGTACTTGTGGTCAACCCAATCACCCAGGAGAGCCGTGCAATGAACATAAGAAATGTATCAACTGTGAAGGACAGCATGCTGCTGATTCTAGAGAATGTCCGCGGATGAAGGAAGAAGTTGCCATCCAAAGAGTGAGGACGCTAGAAAAAATTAGTTATCTGGAGGCAAAAAGGAAAGTAATTAGCTCATCTCCCCGGGTGTCATACGCTCAAGTTACCGCTACCCCAAGTGCTACAGTTAATAAACTTGTTGAAGAACTTCTTCCTCTGCTTTCAAAAACGATAGAAACACAGATTAAACAAACCTTTGATAAATTTGTAAATAGACCAGTACGGACATTGACACCTTTAAATCTACCTCCTCCTAACCAATACCTATCGGATACGTCTACTCAACCATCTCTTTCAGAAAAGAGGAAACGTACTGTTATCCAAAAGGATAATGCGGATGATCCCGCAGACGATACTGACGAAAGCTTTCGTCACAAGCCAGCGGAACATCCTCACTTGCTAAGAAAAAAAAGGGATGGCCGAAGGGAAAACCCAGAAAGCCTCCAGATGATAAGACGATTAGTTCCGATGTAATTGATCTCAACTAGCATTACGTAACGATGACTTCTGTGATATTACTTTGCAAAATGCATTTTTTATCCATATTTTTTATACATAGTTATATTTATATCTTTTTATACTCATATATATATATACACCTTTTACTTATAGTTACACTTATTTTTCACACAATGTGTTCTATAGTGCAATGGAATATTAATGGATATAAAACGCACCACCCAGAATTGAAATCACTTCTGTTAAATGAGGCACCAATTTGTGCATGCCTTCAAGAAACGCATCTAGCAGATTCAGACAGCATAAACCTACGTGGATATACATGTTACAGGAAAAATGGCATTAGGAATATTCGTGCCAAAGGCGGCGTCGCGACCCTTATAAAAGAAGATATCCCATCTAATGAAATCATGGTTGACTCACAATTGCAAGCAATCGTAGTACAAATCTTCCAGCCAGTTAAACTAACTATATGCAACATCTATCTCCCAGACTTCAGCTGGGAATCAAGACAAATGCGGCAACTTTTTTCTCAGTTGCCTACACCTTGTGTCATACTGGGCGACTTCAACGCCCATAACCCATTATGGGGATCAGAGAAACTTGATATGCGAGGCCGCCTTATAGAAGATATCATCAACGAATATAACCTGGTGGTTTTGAACTCAGGATCAGGTACCTTCCTAATATCCGCTCTCTTAAACTTAGCGCTATAGATCTAACAGTTTGCAGTCCTGAAATTGCACA